GTTGAGTTCGAGGTACTTCAGGTCGAAGTTTTGCTCTTACATGCGCAGCGAATGATCACCCCGCGGATCCAGGACTCTTGGACATCTCTGGGCTCCATCGTACGCATGGCCATGACAATGGGTCTTCACCGCGATCCCTCCGAATTTGAACCTCGAATCCCCATATATTTCGGCGAAATGCGGCGGCGATTATGGTTCACGATTCTTGATATGGACCTCCATATCTCACTCGCAAGCAATCTCCCTTGTTTGGTACGGGAAGGAGACTTTACTTGTCGGCCGCCCCGCAACTTGGATGACATTGAGCTTTTCCCAGATATGAAAGAGCTAACACAGTCGAAACCCATAGACGTGGTTACAGACAATCAGATGCAAGTTTATGCAGCCATGACTCTGGGCGTGCGGATGAAAGTTGCACACATGTTGAATCGCATCGATACAATTCGAGACTATCAAGAGATCCTGGAAGTGGGAGCCAAGCTGGAGCGATTCCTTGATGATATCAACTACATTTTCCCTAGGCAGGGCATTCTAAGTGATGCACAGAAGAGCAAACAATGGAGGTCAAGGGTCATCCTGGATATGCATGTGCGACGGCCATTGCTTGCACTTTATCGACCTTTCGCTATAGGAGCATCTGACGCACCAGGTCAAATTTCTCGAGCATATCTGAGATCCTCAATGGTAATCATGAAATACCTAGATGAGCTGGACCCTATGCTAGCGCACTTCCAAGATATTGCCGAGATGTATCACCAGGTACTGAAGAAGGATATTATCCAGGCGGCTTTGAGTGTGTGCTTCTACATACGGTCTGCAGTTCGGCCAGCTTCTGATAGCACCGGGCTTGGTTCACAAGCTCTGCGCATGTCTCCTGAGTCGTCAGACGACTTCCCGACCTACAACCCAGAGAACCTTGTGCTCTGGTCGCCATCGCGACTTATCAGCACTGTGGAGAAGACGTTGGACCTTTTGGTTCGCAACATCAGTGGTCGGGATACCAAGGACGTGGTCTGTCTTGCTGTTGTTCTGGAATGTGTGTCCAGACCGGAAGTTAAGACAGATGAGGTTACCCAAAACCTCCGCATAGTATTGGATCGTTGCCTCAGGGCAACCAACATGAACCTCGATGGTGTCCCTATGGGCTCTACTGGAGTTCCTGTCGACGGCTTCCAAGGGGATGCATACAGGCATCATGTACCATTCATGTATCAACGAAATTCTATTGGAGTCCCGGCCGCTCTGAACGACTTTGACAACTGGATGCTATGGGAAGGATGGGAGTAATGGAATCAAGAGCATATTGCCTATCTGAGTTTAAAGAAAGATTTGAGTCTCGAGTTGTCTATTTTCTTACTACCCCTTTTTTTACCTGAGTTTTCTTTGTCTTAAGCGGCTGGAAGGTATTGGTTTGAGTGTTTGTGGATATGTGAGTTGCAAAGATGATGGCAAACTGGACTTAAAAGAACGATATACAGGGTATGGGAAGTTCAGCGGGCGCTGGTAAGGATTTCCCTGCGGGAATGTTTGTATTAAGATGCGTTTATACTGTTGGCCATACGTGGCCCTGCGAGGCGCATTAGGGTTAGATGGTTGAAGCGTGAGCATTTGTATGCTTTGTGCCTGTACAGACCAAGGGAAAGGAAGAGATGTGTTTGGGATATAACAGGGGCCCAAAGAGTCAAGTTGTTGTCAAGTCATTGATAGAATGGACTTTGGACAATAAATCAATCACATGGATTGGATGGACGTGGGAAAGGATTAAGCACTTGATGAAGGATCAATACCAAAATTATCCCCGCAGGCGGCTCCATCTCAAACAAACACGCCAGTGAATCATTACGATTTCAGTCATCTCAATTTGATACCACCTACTCCAGATTCTTCTCTTGCATTCGACTTGTTCTCCCGTGCTTTATCTTGCTGGAAATGGGCCATCCTCGATTTCCTGACAGTAGCCAACCAAGCAGCAACACGGCCTTTCCCAGGCGAAGCCCGGACGGTGGCAGAGAGTTCCCCAGTCAGACGAGGACACTGAGCGAGATCAAAAGGCAAACCACTTTCTCGCACTATTTTATCGACTCTCTTGTAACCATCTGCCTCTAACTGCATCGCATTGCTTTGGATAAACACAAGACGTAGAGGCATTGCTGCAGAGTCCTTTTCTTCGTTTACTTTAGCAGTCTGGGTTGCTTTCAGGGCCCTGATCAGAGTGTGAGTGACTGCTTCGAGAACATGGGTGTTGTAGAAAGCGAGTATGACTGCTTCAGGAGGCTTTGGTGTCTGTAAAGCTATTTCGAGGTCGTGTTGGGAAGCGGGCAGGCCGTTGATCAGAGTGACGTTTGGATGATGAGGGACTTGTGAAGTCTGGGGAGTAAGAAAAGCATAGTAAAATTTCGAGATAGAGCAGACTGAATGAAGCGAGCGCTGTTGTGGTTTGAAGAGCTTAGGAGGAGGATATGCATTGTGAGTTGGTATAAGTGAGGAGAGAGTGAGGCTTCAGGGGATGTCCAAGGTGATAATGACAAGGCGGACGGATGAACGAATGAACCTTGCAGCAAGGCATTACTCTACAAATTTAGATCTAGAATATGAATTAATTGCCTAGAAATGACTTGCTGTTATACCTCGTCATCTCAGTTGGTCTACTCGGCCGATTGGACCCGGCGCCGACTGACTCGGCCGGGAGCGGACCTTGACATTGACTAATTCTCCCGAGTCCTGCCAGGAAAAGGACTGTAACTACTTCTCGCATACCAAACCCATTCCATTTCTCTGTTGTTACTAAGTCACGGGCCATTGAGAGTTTATTGCCGACCCAAAGAGGAAATGTTGAAGCAGCAAACGAGCCTCGGCATCTCGGTTGCTTTTTAGACGCCCCCGCACTATCCGATGATTGCAGCTAAGGCAGTGAATGTAACGAGAGGATCGATTCTATTTGATGAGAGTTTGTGCTTGGACCGAGTTGTTTACCGAATTGGGATGAAAGCCGGGGTAAAGTCGTCGATCCTGGGGTTGTTGACTTGTTAACTAATGGCAGTGATATCATGTTTTATACATAAATCAACGTTTCCTTTGGTCTGGCATCTGAACCTCATTCAAGCAACTCACATCTTTCGGGTATTCGTTCATAGCAAGCAGCTCTACCTTATCTCATATACAGCCACAATGCCTGACAAGAAAAAGTCACCCGTCTACGTCCTTGGTGTGGGCATGACCAAGTTCATCAAACCCCGTGGCAAAGTCGACTACACCGAACTCGGCTTTGAAGCCGGTATCAAAGCTCTTCTCGATGCCCAGATCAACTACGATGATGTTGACCAAGGCGTTGCATGCTACTGCTACGGCGACAGCACATGCGGCCAGCGCGTCTTCTACCAATTCGGCATGACCCAAATTCCCGTCTACAATGTCAACAACAACTGCTCGACAGGCAGCACTGGCCTCAACATGGCTAGAACCCTTGTACAACACGGTGCTGCTGACTGTGTTATGGTCGTGGGCTTCGAGAAGATGGCCGCGGGCAGTCTGCAGAGCAACTTCAAGGATAGAGAGAACCCTACTGGGACGACGATCAAGATGATGGCTGAGACTAGGGGTGTCACCAACGCTCCTGGGGCTGCTCAGATGTTTGGTAATGCTGGAAGAGAGTATATGGAGAAGTGAGTAGCTCTTATACATAACACAAGTAGGGTATAGTTGTACTGACTTATCTAGATACGGAGCAACGGCTGAGGACTTTGCAGAGATTGCTCGCATCAACCATGCTCACTCGCCCAAGAACCCCTACTCTCAGTTCCAACAAGTCTACACCAAGGAACAAGTCCTCCAATCTCCCATGATCCACGAACCCCTGACCAAACTCCAATGCTGCCCAACTTCAGACGGCGGCGCAGCAGCCATCATTGTATCTGAAGCCTTCCTCAACGCTCGTCCTCATCTGCGAGAACAAGCTGTTGAGATCGCAGGTCAGCATCTCGCAACTGATGCACCAAGCCTCTTCTCCCAAAGCTCTATTGACCTGATGGGCTATGAGATGTCACAGCGTGCTATGAAGGAGGCTACTCAACAAGCTGGTATCTCACCTCGCGATTGTCAGGTGGTTGAGTTGCATGATTGTTTCAGCGCAAATGAGATGATCACCATTGACGCTCTTGGCCTCTGTGACAAGGGTAAAGCACATGAGCTCGTCCGCGCAGGAGATATCACCTACGGAGGAAAATACGTCATCAACCCTTCAGGCGGTCTCATCTCCAAGGGCCATCCCCTCGGCGCAACAGGCATCGCGCAATGCGCTGAGTTGGTCTGGCATCTTCGAGGCTGGGCCAACAACCGTGCTACGCCCAACACACGATACTGTCTTCAGCACAATCTCGGTCTTGGAGGTGCAGCAGTGGTCACTGTTTACAAGAGGGCAGATGGAGGAGTTGCTCAGGCTGTGAACTCGACCATGGTTGGCAACAGGAACAAGTTGGGGTATAATCCTGCTGTTGAGGCCAAGGGGTTCACGCAGGAGCAGGTTGATTTGGTGAGGAGTAAGAAGAACAGGAGTGAGTGGGCGTTGCAGGATGTTGAGAAGAAGGTCGAGGCGAGGTTTTAGGAAGAGTATGTGATCTTGAACGAGTGAGTATCCGTATATCTAGTTAATGTGGTCGAATAAATACATATCATGAATATATTTACTACATATACCTCTTATCTGTTGTAGGAAGCTCTTACTAATTGAAGCTCTACTTCTAATTGAATTATTATTGCAAGTACGCCTGTCCAGTGAGGGGAATCGTTTTTATCGTGATATTGCATATCTTGAATGTGGCATGCATCCAATGTTTACTGTGAACCGCCACCTTAAACTTAGTAACTAACTTGTACCCTGGTGGGCACGGAGATCACTTCATCCATCCCCTTTCACCTTTCTCCTTTCCCACTTTCACTAACTTCTCTCCAACAAAACAAAAATATCACAGTGATAAGCAAAAAACAAAGGACGTTTGCTTGACATGGCTCGATTTGACGACCTACCCGCAGAATTGCGCGCAGCAATATGTGAATATACCCTCCCCAAGGATGAGAACGCGATATACGTATTCAATGAGGAGTGGGCATATGAGTTCTTCCCGACGAGACATCGAGATCTCGGTCCTGAGGACAGTTTCAACCCATGCCTCCCTGCCCGTATCCAGGTCCCTATTCCTGGAGTATACAATGTTTGCAGAGACGCCCGCCCCGTTGTTCATCGCTGGATGGCCAAGAACAACCTCCAGTGGTATGATCGCCAAGAAACGAAAGAGAGAATCCTTGTCCGGCCATTTGACGTGCAGAGAGACATACTCTACGTGCCTCAAAATGAATGGGATATGTTTGACGGGTTCGTCAATAGCAATGAGCTCGACCCCGAGGAGCACCAGAACCTGCGCAACAACATCGTCAACCTCGCCGTGTCAGCTGATAGCATGTCGAGATTCGACAATGCCGAGGACATTGCAAGACTCATGCTACGGGCACCCAACCTCAGAAAGATATACGTCATCTTCAACGACCTCCCCCACGTCGAGAAGATCACAACACGTCTAGCAAATGGTAGCGAGTGGTGGTCCGATATGTCAGTCCAGCAGCGATGTGAGATCGCTTCAGAGCCAAAGCCTCACGAAAAGGTTCATGTTCATCGGCTGGACAGGCACAATCAACTAAGACAATTCGTAAAGCTCTTTCTCCGAGACCTGCAAAAGCGCATGGATGGCATTTGGGGGATATTGGTGGAAGGCTTCCCGGATATTGCTCACAGCGTTACCAAGGAGCTCAAGGTGCCCAGGGTTGATGTGACCATCATGCAGGTGCCTACTTGGGATATTGTGAGGCAACTTCGAGAAAGTGATAGAGCTATAGCAATTGGCATTGGCCCTGGCAATGGCATTGGCAACGGCATCGTATCTGATCTGATCTGATGTGGTCTACATCGACCTATTCGTCGAAAGCAAACATAGCCTGGACAGGCAATATCTCGCGTGAAAGGGACTACGCAGTTACGAGTATACGTCTAAATTGTATCATATCAATCACAATTGAAGCCATATACCAGTAGTCAATTGTCAATCGATTTCTAAGCAAAAACCGTTGCCATGCACCTATCAACTGGACCACTAGACAAGCTATCCACGCTATTGTATTGAAGCCTAACATTGCTCATATTCTCAGACGTGGCCTGTAACGAAATTACATTTGAGCTGATTCTTGCAAGGGACATGTCTCGTTGATCACAGCACTAACTAATTGGCGGTACGGAACTGGAAAAAGAAAGTTAAAGCCCTAACTCGCTGCTGTGATACGGATATAAAACCCTCGGTCAGAGACGCGCTTGAAGCGCGTCTCTGACCTTGATTCGTCCACATCACTTATACCACAACCTCAATTTTGACCATCAATACAATAAAATTCATTGGCTCTTTTGAACTCACAATGGATCAATCATTCCCTCAATTCCCCAAACTTCCACCAGAAGTGCGTGCCACTATTTGGGAGCACACACTCCCTGAAGGAGATGGTGGTGCTGCCTTGTACATGTACAACATGGACTGGTGGGCACAGTATTCTCCTCCTGGCGTTGCCTTTCACGACATGACGACTCAAGGCATTCAGCAGTTGAGTCGACCTCCTCGTGTTCAAGTGCCTATTCCCACTTGTGCCGCTGTATGCCAAGAGGGTCGCCGAGTGGTCGAGCAATGGAGGAAGAAGAATAACTTGGAGTGGTATTTTCGCGAAGAGACCCAGGGCGATATCCTCGTTCGTCCCTTTGACGCTGAGCGAGATGTACTCTACGTTTCTCGGCTTAAATGGGAATCCTTTCAACTTCTGGCCGTGGACTGGGAGAATGATGTTGAACACGCTGCCGTCATTCGTATAATGGAGAGCATCAAATACCTTGCACTCCCGGCATTCACTGCTTACTACAGCATCAACAACATCGCAGGTCTACTGCCATGGATGAAAAACATCAAGGCCATCTACGTCCTGTGGAACAAACTCCCCAAAGCGCATATGATCAAGAGACAGCTGCCCGACGTAGCACATATAGCAGAGGTCAAAATACCCTTGGACGCACCGGTGCAGCCACGGTGGGAGCTCGACAAGTTCCTGCAACGTGAGGATGAGGTTGAATTTCATTACACTGATGAAGAAACGGGCCGTGAGTATGTTGAAGATGGTGAGCTTTCGGAATGGCTTGAGGATATTGATGATCTGTGGAACACTACTGAGGTTGATCCGGAGATTTGGGATGAGGATGAGGAGAAGTTGAAGACGCCGCAGATTCATGTCACTGTAAAGGAGCTGCCTACTTGGCTCTGAGATAATGATGGTTGATGTGTTTGTATCGTTCGAGCTGCTGTTTTCAAGAGCTTTATACCAATGAATTTATATGATCAGTAATCTAGTCTCTCGTCAGATAGAAACTTGACTCGTATGTTTCAATGAGTTGATAATACTATTGATGATACTATGAATACCGAGGCTTATAGTTACTTTTCAACTCATACTGCTTCCAAATGATACACAATTACAGTCCACAAGATCCTCCATAAGAGAGAGGAAACACGTGCTTCGATACCTGGTCATGGATAAGGTAGCCCAACACCAGAGCCAACCGTATGCACATCACAGTATCTGCATCTACACCACAATGGCAAATACAACTACCCCATCTACGAAGTAAAAAATGACACATCACCCATCCATCCATCCATCCATCAAGACCCCTACTAATACCCTCCCGGCTAAACCGAAACCCACTCACCGCAAGATAAGCCCAACATCACATCAGATCATCGATATCAAGAACCCTCCCAGCCCATACGTACGTAAGAGGCCACGAACTCATTAACGTCTCTGATGTGCATCTTGCATGATAGACCCTGCAACATGCCCAAAACTCCGGTCATATCACCGTGGGGGTTCAAATCAAGCAAGTTACAGTCAAACTATCTATATCGTGACTTCAACGGAGGGCCAAGTCCACATATCGAGATCTAGCAAGGCACAGCCTCTTTACACCGAGAAAACAGCCGCGATCGAAACCCACGATCCTTGCTATCGTCAGATCAGATCATGATCATGGATGCTCGGCCAGATATCCGGGGGGATACGGGCGTCTATCGTACACGCCCTGTGGCTTTGTTTCTAGAATAACGCCAAGGCAGAGCCTCATCTTGTAAACTTGTCATAATCTCATCTGCCTGTCCCTGTATCTCGGCTCTGAATGCTTCTTGGGCCATGGGTAAGGTATAGGGCCGAGCCGCTGCGGAAGAGCCTCATGAGGCTCCTTCTATGGTACTATAAACGGAACACCTTGGCTAGCAGGTGATCTGACTTCGCTGCAGTCCGATAGACTATTTTTCTAGTCAGGAGAACGGTGGCTGATGCATGCATCTGCAGGGACTGGGACTGGGACTGGGACTCTGGTTAATGTTTCTAGAAGGCAATTGTTTCGTTGCATTTTTGGATAAACGGCTGAAGATAAGAGAGTAACTAAGAGTGTCCTTACTTCAACGGCGTCTCTCCTCCGAGACTAGAGACTACATACCGTTGACTTGGTTCGGTGTGGCCGGTGGAAGCTCACATCACGCTACAAAAGGTGGGACTTGGGAAATCAACATCAGCCCATTCTTTCGTATCGTATTTTGTCAGTGCTCCAGTGAGTCAGTATCGCATCCTCTAGACTAAAGACAAGAATGACGAATCATATGTGCATGTCTTGGTACCGTGAAAGATTGATTGATAAGATGAACAGAAATTGATCGTGGCTCAAAATCCGAGGCAGTGACCAGTGGAGGGGGAAACAGAATCCAAGATGTCATGAGTCATATAGGGTAGCATCTTTGTAGAAGCGACGTTTGCATCCTGCGAGGAATTCACCTTACAAACAGTCTATAAAGCTGATCAATCACTACAGTCTAATTGACAGAATCTGTTATTCAGATCCCGTTACTTTAATCACAATCACTCTATTTGATCGACGGCTTATGCCACCGTAGCCCAAGATGACGAGAGACGATCTTAGACTGTAAATATGTAGCACCTAATTTTAGTATAACTTAGAGTCGCACTTATTACACAGACCCTTCAGCCACTCATCAAGTTACTCCTCAACTAACAGCTGAAGCAACAGCGAGATAAAAGGCATAAACTGTGACTTAGAAAACAGAAGTGAAACTGTGATTCAGAAGCAAAAAAGGGCCAAGATTCGGAGTAATTACCCGTCAGAAGCGTTTCAGAAAAGTTTCCCCGTTGTATTGAGCACGTTTCATCTGAACCTGAGGCGTAGGCAACGAATTGCGCAATTATCGCGGCGTCCAAGCACAGAGAACAAGTGTTGGTTACCTATTAATAATAATTCACTTCTGCCGTCACAGTCAGCGGCGGCCAATTCTCTCAACAACTCACTGCAACTCGAGATACCCCTTTCAATTCAATACAACTATAAATAAATTATTTACAATCCCCTTCTGACTCTCCCTTCTCCAACTTCCCATAATTCAATTTCCACTTTTAGCACGGACCTCTAATTCCGACAGGACAGCTCATCAGCTTTCCATCCGTGTGCGACTCCATTTGATTGATACATATCAAAATACCCCGCCATTTTCGTCAACCTCACAATTACAAATCACAAACACATCCACAATGGCCGACACTCACACCTACGAGTTCAACATCACCATGAGTTGCGGCGGCTGCTCCGGTGCCATCGACAGAGTCCTCAAGAAGCTCGACGGTATGTAGAACTCCCCCAAATGACCCCTGACCGCTGCTAACAATATCTCTTTGCAGGTGTCGAGAGCTACGATGTGTCCCTTGAGAACCAGACCGCCAAGGTCGTCACCGCCCTCCCCTACGATACCGTTCTCCAAAAGATCGCAAAGACTGGCAAGAAGGTCAACTCTGGCAAGGCGGATGGTGTTGACCAGTCGGTCGAGGTCGCCGCCTAAGCGCTGCACCAAGATAGGAGGCGAGTCGAGGATGTAACGAGCGATCGATCCATCTGAATATCTGTTAGCTTTGCAAGCGCTTGGGAAACATTCGGTGTTTATGGTCTCGGACAACGAGAAAAGGAGGAACATATGTTTTCATAAATAAATCTCATAACCAATCCAGACAGTTGATTGAATTCAACTTTATCTTTCATCGTCTGGAATGTATATCGCCATCCCATCATTGTACGCGAACTTTGATCGACGTGCAGCACGTATTGCGCATGATACGAATCCTGAATGTCGTATCCAAAGTGTCGTTCTCAGCAATCTCAAAGCTTGTTTCGCCAGCTGGACAGCATACAACAGCTCTATCAAACTCTTTGTCCTGATTTGTCCAACCGTTCAACAGCCTGAAGTTTAACCTAACGGCTGGCAAGTACCTCCAAAGCTGGTTAACCTGAAAGGAACGAGGGTAACTTGTGAAGAAACGCGAGAGCGAGAGCAGCAAGCCCTTACGGGGCAACTCAACTGACATACTCTTGAATGTTGTGAAGTCGTTACTCTTGTACGAAGCGCTGCGCGGGAGCCACTGAACACGATAGTAAGCGTTGGAGCAAGCAGGAAATGCAAAACTAATCGGTGTTTGCACAGAGAAGACTTCCCCTGAGATAGATGTGTATATGGAGTCACCGTAGAATCCGGCTCATACCGCTGCTTTCCAGGAAATCGAGTGAGTTTTGTGCGAGGATAGTCAAGAAAAGGGCGAAAAACCATCATGACCAGCCGTTCGAGACAGTTTCACAGAGCTGCAAAACCACAGAAACAATGAGAGATGCAGAAAAAGCAATAAGCAATCATGCAAGAAATCAGCTCCCATGTGAGCAGCTTCTTGGTCCATGGAGCACAGCCCCTCCCTCGGACAAACGCTTCAAGTTGATACTGACGGCTCGTCGCAATGAACGCCATCGAAGGCATATCAG